GCTAGTGAAACGGACTCGTCCACGTGATCTAAAGTTATGAGGTAACATATATATGTACATAAAAAAATATTCCGACGAATTGTTAACCTCCTACTTTTTTGAAGTCGGTTAAAAAAATACAAAAAAAAAATTCGTGGGCATGTTTAAATTAAGATTTTTTGAGATTGAAAAGGTTTGGTTATCATTAAAATTTTATTTTGAAGATTTAAAAAAAAGGATCAGTCCAGCGCCTTGGTCCTGACCTGCGGGCTGTGTCGGAGCCACAGGCGCTAAACTTAAACGTAGAATACGTGACATTATTAAGATCACATTCAAGCTAAAAACGGTACATGAAATATTCGTTTCGATTGTATTGAATTGAATTTAATAAATCAATATGAATTGCAAAATATTAATAATTGGCAATAGAGAAGCAGATCCCTATTAACTTCAAACATGTGTACCATCAGCTTATAAACAGATATATGCCATGACGTGTATCACTACGATTCGATTAATTTTGATTTCCTTTCATACTGCAGGAATTTTTATTACATTTTATATTAGCCTAGGTCCCCGTATTAGTATTCTTCTTCGTGTTCGTGCTCGTCTTCGCAATATCTTCGTCTTCGGATTTGTGCATAAGTCAGCTTAGACTTATGAAACAGCTGGCAACCCTCCTAAATATAGCTAAGAAATAAACAAATCTTTTGCGTCTGACATTGCGATACCTACATATTTCATGTGCCTAATTAATTAAGTTAAACTTGATTTTTTAAATACGTGACAACGCTCCTAATACGGTTCAAACATAAAGCCTTTTTAAACCCATTTCACTTAATACTCATATTTTTAGTAATTGCTTTAACTTTTGAAACAATTTGAGTTTACCTCTTCAAACAAATGGCAACCCACTTTAATATTCTAAATATTAAAACTGAGGATATCTCACCACATTCCCTTCACGTCATACTTTATTATTTCATTTAGCTTATGCATACTTTAATTAAATTCTGATTTTAAAACAGGTGGGTTGGCTTTCCATTACATCGGTTTTTGGGTGTTTTCACAAACCTATCACGAATTTTGTTATGAAACTTGGAGGGGATGTTAAGAATCGTATATATTTACATTATTTATCATTTTCACTTTATTATTAATAGTATATTTGTTGTTAAATTCTTTGCAGTTTCACTAGCAAATTTTCATATAAAAAGAGCACTTAACCCTTATATTTTGATAAATATACCATCCTTGCAATGTTCGCGTGTATTTTGTACACATTAAATGTATTTTATTTTATTTTTTAACAATATAAAACGCTTTTAATAATTTCACAACTTTTCTTCAACAAAGTAAACAAGCAAACAAATCAAAATGGCTGTAATGGTGAATACAAAGATGCTACCTGGGCCCTATTGCACCAACAAATTATCATTAGCATTTTAGCAAATTATCGAACTTGCGCAAAGTTTTGTGTTTCACCAACATGATAAGCAAAAGTCACTCAAACGAGTATTGATATGTAAAAAATCACTCAAAATCATAGATAAGAGTTGCATCAAAATTTTAAATGCTTAATGAAAAGATTTTAGCGGATAAGTGATAAGTTATGCAAATTATCAAAATTTATTAGTATTTCGTTGCACCAAAAATTTTTATTTATCACTTGTCATTTTCAATTTTGTCAACTTTAGCATTATTTTGCTAAAAATTATTTTACCGATCATACCAGTGATAAGTTACATGAAATGCTTCGATCCGAAATATTAAATTTATTAGAGGAGGACAGTCTGCAAATAATGAAAGGCGTGTCATAAAAGAACAAATCAACTACAGTTTACATATTGGTGTAGTAGAAAAATTGTGGCTCGTAGTCAAATAGAACAAATTTTATTAAAAATTGGAGCGAACCTATAATATAACAGTGAACGTAATAATGGCATGGTCGAATGCATGGGGTCCACAAATTAGCGCTATGTAGAGTAATCCATCGAGTGGCAAATGCCGTGATAAACAAATTGATGGATGAAACTATTTCTTGGCCGGAATTTACGCAAAATATTGCCACACAATTTTTCAACATTGGTGGATTTCCTTAAGTCGCAGGGTGCATTGATGGAACTATGATAAACATAGACGCCCCTAAGGTTACTGAGTACCAATTTGTTAATCGGTACGGAAATCATTCAATTAATGCAATGTGATTTTTGTGTTTTTGTTACTGAATTATTTTGGAAAGATCCAAATAAATAATCCTAAAATGTAGAAAAATATGGTTATTTATATAAACATACATATGATAGTCAAGGCGGACTTACTTTTTTTCCTTAATAATTTTTAAGTCAGCAAATTTATTGGCTTGGATAAAAGAGAAGTTGAAAATGTTCATCAAATCGGACATGGGCTTGCTAAGCCTCAGTTTTTCCATTAAGAAACGGTAATAATTTTAGCTAAGCACATTATTCGAAAAGTTCTCTATTTGGAAAGCAAAAGAAATTGGCTCGGCAATGGTTATCAAATCGACTTATCCAAAAAAATTGTCAGTTACTAATTTTTTTATAAGTTGATAAGTTTTGTTTTATAAGTAAAAGGTGCAACATTTATCAACTTTACTTTTCAAAAAAAAGGGCTTATCCAAAAGTTGTTAAGTGTAAAGTGATAAGCCGTTGGTGCAATTGGGCCCAGATGTTCGAAAATTAAATATGTACACTAAAATGAAAGGATATTCAACAATCTATTTCTGTATCATAATGATCTCGATAACATTAGGAAATAAATGAGTATGTCTGCGGCGCTTAAAAAAAAATTAATACTTAGATAAATACTGAAATTTTTTTATAAAAAATCGGGTGATTTTATATAAATAATTTTTTTTTATAAAAATTAATACTTCGATAAATAATGAAAATTTTTAATAAAAAATTGTGCGATTTTTTATTAAAAATTTTCGACTGCGGCGCTTTAACAAAAAACAATACTTCGGCGCTTATTTTATAAAAATCAATACTTCGATAAATAATCAAGATTTTTAATAAAAAAAACCGCGCGATTTTTTATTACGGCGCGGCGCTTAAAAAATAAACAATATGTACTTCAATTGTCAACAGTCGTTGCTTGAGCTCATCTACTCTTCTGCCAAACTGCCAGACCACTTGCTCAATTTGGGGAATATATATTGTTAAGATGTTTCCTAATAACAAAATAAACAATTTTTTGTTGTAAAATGTATTTGCTTTTTGAAAAAGTTTTATAAATAATATTTTTTGTCAGTGTTTCAAAAGAGAATATTGGTGATTTACTGCATTTTGGGCGTGCAATTCCTCATAAAAAAAATTACTTATTTCTCAATGTCAAGTGAATAAAGCCATATGGCTTTAAGGCGCACAGTGTTGTTTTTGAACACTCCATGCGAATTAAACGTAGCGCTTTCGACAGAAGCAATATTTTGATATAAAACAAAATGGTTTTGAAAGCTAATTTTATTCCCTTTCACGGAAAAGTACTGCCATTGACCCACAATTACTCCTTGATCTTAAAAAAATTTATAATAAATTTATAAATTTTAGTGTTTTTTCGAAAAAAACAAACAAAATCCACTGAAGTTAAACTTTGAAATTTCATTCGACTTTTTTGCAATTTTTTCTTCTAATCTCAGAGTAAAAACTCGTACAGCAGATTCGAAGTTTGGTTTAAAATTGTTATAACTTGGTTCTCAAAGGGACTAAAGATTTCCACTATGGCTCAAATTAAAGACCTTGAATAGCACTACAGCGGATTTGTTATTCGCGTGATATAAAATTGTGAGAAGGATGCACAGCTGCATGCAATCAAAAATGCATATCTTTAATTGAGGAGTTAAGATTTTTTTTCGATTTTTAAACAGTGGAATCGTGTTTCTCGTCTCAAAATCTATAATATAAGTGTAATAAAACAAAGAAAATTTTTTTTTTTGGAAAAAATCCGGTGGATTTTACATGTTTTTTCGAAAAACACAATTTTTGACCAATTTTTTCAAGGTCAAGAAGTAGTTGTAGGTCAATGGCTTTCATAACTATTTTGTTTAATATCAAAATATTGCTTCTGTCGAAAGCGCTACGATTAATTCGCATGGAGTCTTCAAAAAGCACACTCTGCGGCGCCTTAAATTTCGAAATATCGAAAATGAAAGCATTTCAGAAATTTACCGTTATGTGAAAAGTTGGCGTAATTTTATTCCGATTTCAATAATTTTAAATATTTTGCTTTTTTGTGGCAAGCACAATAATCACACCGAGTTTCGCACAAATTGATCGAAGGGTTACCGAGATACATATATGTGGTCATAAGTGGGCGTGGACGCCCATTTTTCGAAATTTATAATATTCCTTTTTTTTCGTTTAAAACCAATTGTAAATATCAATTTTGAGTGAATAGGCTTCACTAGTTACTAAAATACCGCAGTTTGCGTATTTCTGAAAACTACCGTAATATGGGAGGTAGAGGTGTTTATTGTCCGGTTTTTCCCAGGGAAAAAATTCCGCTGCCCCAGGACTCGAATTTGGATCTCTCGAATTCAACTATTGGCGCGACGGGATTTAAATGATATAAAAGTGGTTTCTCGCAATATAATTTTTCAGCGCGATTGTTGAATGAGAGAGCTTTTTTTCTAAAGCGGGGATCACACGATTTGTACATTTGTACATTTTGGCAGTCCATAGTGATATTTTCTAGAAATAATGATTTCAGCTCAATAACAATTTTCCAAACAACACCCTTCTGTAACTGTGAAAATGTACAAATCTGTACAAATGTACAAACCTTGTGATCCCTGCTTAAGACTTTTGTGTTACAATAACAAAAGCCTTTCGAACTATCTTGTCATCTGTCTTTCATTTGTCTTACGAAAGACTTTTTACTGTCTTAATGTCTGCCAGAATGGCATTGTAAAGTCCCTTATGATTAATATCACCAGGCGGCGGAGTATGATACCAAACAATTTTAATCTATTAATACACTGACATTCACACATACACACTTACCCACTGGCTCCACCACCGTTATGGAGTCGACGAATTCACGCTTGTTCATATACAAGGTGATCATATTGTTGGGTGAAACCTTCTTAAAGACCTTAAAGTTGACAACCATTTTGGCGGCTGCTTCTTTTTACTTTGGCGCACACAAATTATTTATCGCAAATTTAAATAAATAATTTTCACTTCAAATGCAGCCGTCGTGCGTTGGCTGATCGGAAAACGTTTTTGCTACACTCTGTTACGCGTGCCACGGTATGCTTTCGAATTGACACTTTTTTATTAGTAGCGCGGACGCTTGTCGAAAAATTCCGAAGTGGCGCGTTACCCGTCTGCGGTTGTATTAAATTAACCAACATTTGCAAGAGACCTTTATAGGCGTCGGCGATAACTGTCAAGCTTTCACTCTTATTGAATTAGTGGACGAATAGTATCGTGGATTTCAAAATAAGAAATTTTCGCATTGTTTACAGCATATACTACAGCACCCCGAGCCAAATGCGCACATAAAAAACATACATACACACCTACGAGAGCGCTTAACTTACTTTATAGGGCTTCGGTGATTAGGCTGGTTGCCACCAGGGCATTTAATCCTGAAGCATTTTAAAAATCCCGGTTTTTCGGGTTGCGAAAAATTGTTATCCCGGGATTTCGACTTTATCAAAATTTTAGAATTTTGCAGTATGCTCTCCGTTTTCAGAAATCGGAAATATTAAACCATATACATTCATTGTCGCCATATTTGGTCTTATGCGGAGCATAATGCACATTGGCTGCGTCTCTTTATACATTCTGGATAATCCCATTTCACAGCCGGAATAAACAGAATTCGTTTGAAATCTACGTTAACATATCATCAGGAACGTTCTAAAGAATAAGTAAACAAAAAAGTGTGTTCCAAACGTTCAGAATGAATAAAGAAATGCAGCCATTAGTAAAAAAACGCTGACTCAATTCTATTTCTACAGAACCGCGCTAACAAAGTAAAATGAAGAGCAACTCTGCCACACTGTAAAATATTCTTGTATATTTGCTACCAGATTTTTCGTTCTTGGGGTTTGCATAGGACAATTTTGCGAAGACAATCAGTGTTGCCTAACAAGGACTTTTCCTACCATAACTGGTCGGTTTTTTTCCATTTGGTAGGTTGGTAGGATAGATTGGATTTTGGTAGGTTCCGCGACAATAATAGTTATTTGCAAAAAATATAAAATATGTATCTTCAAACACTTTAACAACTTTGTTTACACGAATATTTCACCGGTGAAGTCCACCATTGTCCATCTGACAGAGACTTTATTGTAAGACTTGAGGAATATCACCAAGCTAACCTATTGAACTTTCAATATGGTAGTAAGACCCGTTGTCACATATCCGGCACTGGCCTGGTGACCAAAAGCTACGCAAGTAAAGGAGGTTTTCACCTTTAGCAAGCTGCACCGACTGGTCCGCGTGGCCATTACAGGAGCTATGGGCACCTGTCCAGCGAATGTCATTGGCGTCATTACAGGCGTTTTTCTTTTGTCTATCCTGTTTGAAAGAGGCCTGCAGGAGCGGCCTACGACTGCCTAATATGATCAGCAAGAAAATTTGGGATCTTCGAGACTATTTGGAGGTTCTAAAGCCATTACTGGATAATCCCGAGTTATCTTTCTATAAACCCTACAAGATCAGAATTCCTGAAAGGGACTGCTGTGAAGTGATAATAACTACGATTGACGAAAGGTCCCAAGTATGGTATACCGACGGATCAAAGATGAATGAGGAGAGTACTGGGGCAGGCGTATTTGGACCAAAAGTCTGCCAATTTACGCATACCCAACTATATTCCAGGCGAAATCCTTCGCAATCGTGGTCTGTGTAGAAGGACAAATGGGGCCAAATTAAATATTATGTCGGATATTCAGGCAGGTTAAACGCTCTAAAACAGCATCAGGCTTGTGGACAGCTTTAAAACTCTTTTGAACCAATTGAAAGCCAACTATAACGTAACTCTGTGTGGGGTTCCGGGACATGAAGGGTTTGAAGCCAACGAAAGCTGACTGTTTCGCAAAGCGCGGAGCCCAAACGCACTGGCATGGTTCCTAGCCTTTAGTGAGCTGGTGGAGGAAACTCCAGAGCATATTCTATGTGACTGCCCACGTATCATAAATACCAGACTGATACACTTTGGGGAAGGATTGTCTTCATCCAAAATTTTATTTAAACATGGCGCCTTCCAAAGTGCCTAACTTCTGAAAGAGAATAAGGTTGGAATGATTACAATTAGGGTTAAGAACAATAGATCTTCTAAGGTCGCAGCGCGTGTATCCCAGACGTAATAATAATAATATAGTCGATGTTTTTGCAAAACCGCCCATCGCCCAATTGCAAAACCGCCTATCTTACGGCACTCAAATTTTACAGGAGAGCGAAAAAACAGTTTATTCTTTGAAGGAATTGCCTTGTTAGGCGATATCTTCTCTAGTTATTATTTTACAAATCTGTTCTTTTAATAACGATTTAACGATTTTTATGCATAAATCNGTTCCAAACGTTCAGAATGAATAAAGAAATGCAGCCATTAGTAAAAAAACGCTGACTCAATTCTATTTCTACAGAACCGCGCTAACAAAGTAAAATGAAGAGCAACTCTGCCACACTGTAAAATATTCTTGTATATTTGCTACCAGATTTTTCGTTCTTGGGGTTTGCATAGGACAATTTTGCGAAGACAATCAGTGTTGCCTAACAAGGACTTTTCCTACCATAACTGGTCGGTTTTTTTCCATTTGGTAGGTTGGTAGGATAGATTGGATTTTGGTAGGTTCCGCGACAATAATAGTTATTTGCAAAAAATATAAAATATGTATCTTCAAACACTTTAACAACTTTGTTTACACGAATATTTCACCGGTGAAGTCCACCATTGTCCATCTGACAGAGACTTTATTGTAAGACTTGAGGAATATCACCAAGCTAACCTATTGAACTTTCAATATGGTAGTAAGACCCGTTGTCACATATCCGGCACTGGCCTGGTGACCAAAAGCTACGCAAGTAAAGGAGGTTTTCACCTTTAGCAAGCTGCACCGACTGGTCCGCGTGGCCATTACAGGAGCTATGGGCACCTGTCCAGCGAATGTCATTGGCGTCATTACAGGCGTTTTTCTTTTGTCTATCCTGTTTGAAAGAGGCCTGCAGGAGCGGCCTACGACTGCCTAATATGATCAGCAAGAAAATTTGGGATCTTCGAGACTATTTGGAGGTTCTAAAGCCATTACTGGATAATCCCGAGTTATCTTTCTATAAACCCTACAAGATCAGAATTCCTGAAAGGGACTGCTGTGAAGTGATAATAACTACGATTGACGAAAGGTCCCAAGTATGGTATACCGACGGATCAAAGATGAATGAGGAGAGTACTGGGGCAGGCGTATTTGGACCAAAAGTCTGCCAATTTACGCATACCCAACTATATTCCAGGCGAAATCCTTCGCAATCGTGGTCTGTGTAGAAGGACAAATGGGGCCAAATTAAATATTATGTCGGATATTCAGGCAGGTTAAACGCTCTAAAACAGCATCAGGCTTGTGGACAGCTTTAAAACTCTTTTGAACCAATTGAAAGCCAACTATAACGTAACTCTGTGTGGGGTTCCGGGACATGAAGGGTTTGAAGCCAACGAAAGCTGACTGTTTCGCAAAGCGCGGAGCCCAAACGCACTGGCATGGTTCCTAGCCTTTAGTGAGCTGGTGGAGGAAACTCCAGAGCATATTCTATGTGACTGCCCACGTATCATAAATACCAGACTGATACACTTCATCCAAAATTTTATTTAAACATGGCGCCCTCCAAAGTGCCTAACTTCTGAAAGAGAATAAGGTTGGAATGATTACAATTAGGGTTAGAAAAATAGATCTTCTAAGCTCGCAGCGCGTGTATCCCGGACGTAATAATAATAATATAGTCGATGTTTTTGCAAAACCGCCCATCACCCAAATGCAAAACCGCCTATCTTACGGCACTCAAATTTTACAGGAGAGCGAAAAAACAGTTTATTCTTTGAAGGAATTGCCTTGTTAGGCGATATCTTCTCTAGTTATTATTTTACAAATCTGTTCTTTTAATAACGATTTAACGATTTTTATGCATAAATCTCGATGCCTTGTCATTCAAAAATTAAATAAAATTTTGGTAGGTTTTGGTTGATTTTGGTAGGAAAAAAAATTTGTCTGTGGCAACACTGAAGACAATAGACATTCACACTTTTTACTAACACATCCACACTTCTCTCATTGCCTTCGTCACCCACCATGCAATGAGAAATAGGCAACAATCGCCAATGGCAACAAATTGGCGACTCACCGATTTATTGCTGTGGTGACAAATCGGCAACATCACTTCGTTCATGTCAATTTTGAATAAAAAAGTTCTCNCTAAAACAGCATCAGGCTTGTGGACAGCTTTAAAACTCTTTTGAACCAATTGAAAGCCAACTATAACGTAACTCTGTGTGGGGTTCCGGGACATGAAGGGTTTGAAGCCAACGAAAGCTGACTGTTTCGCAAAGCGCGGAGCCCAAACGCACTGGCATGGTTCCTAGCCTTTAGTGAGCTGGTGGAGGAAACTCCAGAGCATATTCTATGTGACTGCCCACGTATCATAAATACCAGACTGATACACTTCATCCAAAATTTTATTTAAACATGGCGCCCTCCAAAGTGCCTAACTTCTGAAAGAGAATAAGGTTGGAATGATTACAATTAGGGTTAGAAAAATAGATCTTCTAAGCTCGCAGCGCGTGTATCCCGGACGTAATAATAATAATATAGTCGATGTTTTTGCAAAACCGCCCATCACCCAAATGCAAAACCGCCTATCTTACGGCACTCAAATTTTACAGGAGAGCGAAAAAACAGTTTATTCTTTGAAGGAATTGCCTTGTTAGGCGATATCTTCTCTAGTTATTATTTTACAAATCTGTTCTTTTAATAACGATTTAACGATTTTTATGCATAAATCTCGATGCCTTGTCATTCAAAAATTAAATAAAATTTTGGTAGGTTTTGGTTGATTTTGGTAGGAAAAAAAATTTGTCTGTGGCAACACTGAAGACAATAGACATTCACACTTTTTACTAACACATCCACACTTCTCTCATTGCCTTCGTCACCCACCATGCAATGAGAAATAGGCAACAATCGCCAATGGCAACAAATTGGCGACTCACCGATTTATTGCTGTGGTGACAAATCGGCAACATCACTTCGTTCATGTCAATTTTGAATAAAAAAGTTCTCAAAAATTCCGAAACTTATGAATATGGCGTCAATAGTATTGGCCAAAAGCGTCTAAATTATGCCCAAGGACAAGATTGAAAAAAATAGGAAGTCTCACAG